ATAATTCTAAACACGAACCTTTCTCCGCTATCCTGGAACTTACTATGTATCACAATACTATGTATTAAACTAATATAACCTGTTACAAAAATTCGAAGTGACGAGCGGCGGATATATTGAGCGCCATTTCTGTTGACCTGTGACGTACGCATTCCCAATGTGCATAGCGTTCAGCTAACTTCGTCAGGACGTCACGACTGACAGCAGGCATCCAATGATACATTCGATCTTGGAGTCGAAGTTATCCGAAAGCTATGCGCATTGGGAATGCGTACGTCACAAGTCATAAGAAATGGCGCTCAATATATCCGCCGCTCGTCACTTCGAATTTTTGTAACAGGTTATATTATTAGTTTAATACAGAGTATTGTGATACATAGTAAGTTCCAGGATAGCGGAGAAAGGTTCGTATTTAGAGTAAACCCAGTTTGGAAGTTCTAGTCTCTGAAAACGCACCAGCAAACCGCCCTGAGTGATTCACTCAGGAGTTCCTCCACACAAAAGGATACGCTCGCGTTGTAACCCTATCCTGTGTTTGGGTTACATTATTGTATCGGCAACTATAGCTCATAGGGTCTATGTCCCCCAGGGTACTGCCGGAACGTACCCTGGGTACGGTCCGGTATACCGAAACGTACCCTGGTCACTATTTGATATGGTTAGGGTTAGGATTAGGGTTAGGGTTAGGGAGTAGGCGTAGGCGACTCCCTAGACTCGTTAGTGGAGTAGGCGAGGTACAGTCCGGCATATTAGATAGTACCAGGGTACGTTCCGGCAGTACCCCGGGGGACATAGACCCTCTCACTCTCAGCGCAACTATACGCGGGCTACAGTATTAGAGCTACACTTCAGTTAGATACAATAATGTAACCCTACTCTTGTGTTGGGTTACATTATTGTATCTACACTTCAGTATGTCACTGTATGAATGATATTGTCATTAATCATTATTGATAATCATATTAATGTCAATAATGTCAATCATCATCAATGTCAATGATAAACAAACGCGAAACAAACGTGGTCGAATTACCACAGACTTACCATCTTTCAACGAGAATTACTTTGAACCTTTTCAACGCTTGTCGTGTAGCCTATTAATTATCCTATGTACATCCCTAACCTACTTTTCTTATAAAGGAAAATGTGTAATTTACATTTCTGTTCAGCGTGAGTAGGTATGAATCCTAGTTATGAATGTTTTGTTTGTGTTCGTTTCCACAACAAAAATGCATGTTACCCCGCCTGATAATACTACTTGTCCCAAGATGCACCAGTTATTGTAAACCCAAATTTAGTCATGGCAAATTAGTTTTAGCCACGGATGTTTTTAGAAGCAGAGAAAAAATGTAATGCAAAATTGTATTAATTACATGTGTATATATTCATTTTTTTTATAGCGGGTTTTATGGATAAATAGTTCACCGAAAGGTGACGCCACTCTTGAACAGCGAGTCAAACTCCACGACAGATGGCGCTCTCGCTCTGGCTGAGTGTGGGAAGGGGGCGCTGCATGCAGTTTGACTGCGAGTAGGTGGCACATTGACAGCAGCGTACAATCAGTGGTACAATGTATAATAATTATGCGCTGAGCTAGCCTAATATAGTAATAACATGTTAATAATATTATTATAAAAATATGTTATTATGTATACCTCAGTGATTATATAATATATATTATATGACATCTGTTAGTATACCTCAGCACCATATATATAGAAGAAAATATATGGAAGGGCTTCTTTCGTACCTCAACTGAAAAAATATATCATATTCCATGAAAAATTATTTCTCATAGTAGTACCGAAAGTATTTTTCATGCAAATCCACCAATGAGCATTTGAATATGTGTTATATTACAGTATAATGAGATGTGTCAGACGAAACGTTTTTTTCTAATCTTATTTTTGGGATAGGGTTTTAGTGGAGTAGGTCCTCTTTTTGAACACAAAACATCAACAGAATAGCATTCATTGCTTTTGCAAGAGGTGAGGCGTGATAATTACGGTTATGGGATTTCGGTATCAAGATTTGTGATTACAAGCCCCTGCTGTGTAGGTCCTCTTTTATTGTCAAGTCATCAATCTAAAGTTCAAACGTGGTCTATTCTTCTGTCGTAAAGGTGAAGCTTGAGTTTGTCATATTTTTTTATTTTATATTCTGTGTTTGCTACTTGCATGATTGTCTTTAATGCCTGACCTGAGGTGTACCAAGACAATCTTAGGAATTGCAATGAATGATTTCAATAGAAATTTTTTATTTATACCAACAATTATCAATATACTTATATATCAATCCAAAAATCACAATGCAATGCAATCCAGTGTATCAACAGACACTAGAAACAAAAAGTACATATTTATATAAAAAATAGAATCTGCTTCAGTAATTTGCTTAACAATAAACACTTTTATACAATTATAAAATCATGATAGCTTTGCTATTGATCAATTTAGTTTCGATTATCAAATTTGGGTTCGAAGTTTACATACAGATCTAACATATATTTCCTATATGATATAACCACTACAACCCCATTAATTTTATATTTATTGCTGCAATTGAATCATGATGTTCATGTAAATAGAATATAATAGTAATGAGTGATGAACAACAAATGGAAGTGTAGGTTTTGTCTTTTCCCTGTGCCTCTAGCAGGATGGCAAGTTATATGTACCTTACACATCAACTATGCTTACTGATGTAGCAATACCTGCAAGAACAATCAATTACACATGCATGTTGACTGTTGATAAATTAATTTCTCTATATACAGTTTACAGGGTCAATATTCTTGATATAATAAGTAGATTCTACATTTCTCCCACACATTTAATACCCTCTGAACTACATGAACATTATCTTTTTCATTATCAATTCACATACATTTCACTGGAAAATATTTCTTACCGCAAACATTCTTGCCAATTTTTATGTAAAGATAGCCGCTGTGTCCAAAATCCGTGCCCCATGAGTTTCTGACTATATAGTATGGAACGTTTCCTGAAAAGAAAAGATTAAAAATGTAAACAATACCATCTTTCCTGCAATCGTCAGGGCAGCAGATTGTGTTATTATTGTATAGCACCATTTTTATCTGTCTATTGTTTATACCTGTTAGATCGTATCCTACAATTTCTACAGCATGGTTGAGGTTCATCTCACAATGATGTTGAATAACTCCACCCAGGTAGTCCTGCCACAAGGTTGCATCAATGGCAACAGCAACTGGACCATGGTTTTCAATAAGGTCTACCATTTTCTCTTCATTTTGAACTAGCCTATAGATAACAGAAGTAACATATTCATAATAGTGCTGTAACGTACCTTATCACATTATATAAGCATTTTAATTTTACAGCTGTACCAATAATAAAGAAGTTTGGCTACGCACTTATTACATAATCATGTACTTACCCATATGTTGCATGACTGCTGATTGTCACACCTTCAGTTGAACTGAAAATAATACCATATTAGATAGATTATTTAAAAAAGTTATACCTTCTATTGTGTTTCTTCAAAATATAATTAATGAAATTCTCTGTGAAATATATGTCATTAGATAAAATATATTCTTTATACAGGAAACTAGTCTATTAATACCACGTTTTGACCAACAAATACTTACTTGGTAAGCTTGCAAGTTTCTGTCTTCCACGTCAGTGGATACTTTTTACTAGAGACAAGAGCTGTGTTTGTCTAAAATAAAATCAGCAACACAACAGTTTAGACTATAGACATATTTTGGTCAATTAAAAGATTCAGTTTGACTGTGTAATTTGCATTTCCTTAAACAAATAATACAGGTGAAGCCAGCCGACTGATAATTACATAATTACCCAATAGAATAATCGAGTACAGTACCAAGTGGCTGGTTGGCAAGCACTGTGAATCACTGAATAACTAACTTGCAGTACATGTGATTAACTCAAGGCGATTTCATTTTCTGGAGAGAAATTTTTATGCCTTGTTTCTATTTTTTATAAATCGTAAAATTAACTGAATGGTTTGAATGGTTGAACATGTAATAATAATATACTTTTAACACATTCATATGCTCACAGATACTCACCGATTTTAGCCACATTAATGCTGTCTCAATGTTGCCACCTTGACAGCCACGATTTCCAAACCTGGCACAGTCAGTCATCTGTTGAACACTAAGGGGAGCCAGAACCCCTTTCCGGATTGCCACCATGCTCTCTATGATTTCAACAGAACTAAATGCCCTGAAAAGTAAGATCATTCTGCTGCTGTTGGGAAGAGTACAGATTTACACAATTTACTGAATTACTAGATCAAATAACTTCTTGATATTGGCTGTTTTATATTGCATTTAGCTATTAAATTTTTCCTCATAATTGGATTTTTCAGCTTAAAATCTGCAATAGTGTTATTAATCATTCTATACAATCAAGGGCATTGTCACAAAGATCATAAGTAATTATGACTATCATACTTCCAAAATGTTATCCATTTCAGCATAACTATATGATCTTTCTGACAATGGCTTCCAGAAACATACCAACATGCACCACAGTCCTTTTGGTTGTTCACGGCTGTTACTTTATTGGTTTTTCTCCTAAAGCAGATATAACACAGAGAACAAACAACATTCAAGGGTTTTTCAAATATTAACACCTGAGGTGTTGACAAATGCTTGACAGTTGACATGTGATTATAGCAAGCAATAATACAATAGCATTATATTAAACAAGAGCCGCAGAGCGTCTGGGCTCATCTGAGGTCTGTTACTACGGTTATGAACGTAACATTTAAGTCGTGCGTAGTGACACCTTTGTTAGGCGCAGATATGCAGATACGCAGTTGCGTACACATCATTTCAGCAACCTTCTGCATTCTGGTCCGTTAGGCTCCTTGATTCACAAACTTAATTTCTACTCCTGTATGGTGTATTGGCATCCGACTGTAAAGATCATTGATTGCCATGGATCGTCTGGCAAGTTTGGACACCAAGAAAGCCTCTTCCTGACCAGGTATGTTTATATGTGCTATTCATCATGTGGATCGGCACTTAAGCTTCTGTACAGTATACCTGTTACATTTTGCCTGTTAGGAAAAGGTACTTAGGTAGTATAGCTTTGGCAATGTGGGAGGGTGCAGCCTGTTGACATACTTTATGTGTTTTATTTTTCCATATATCAGTAGCTGTCAGTTGTAATTTCTGTAGTCTGTACTCTGTGTTTGCATCGATGTTGCAGTGTGAACATTGTTTGAACCCAGGAGGAGGAGCTTCCAACTGCCAACCATATCAGTGGCAGAAAAATGCTATAGCCAGAAGACCCCTGGCGGCTGGTTCGCATTGCTCCATGGCCAATTCCGCCAGTAGACCGCGTAGCTTAGGTTGAGTTATTGCAACTACAGATTGCATTGGAAGCACACTAGGAGTTGAAACGTACATCCCACATTCTAAATAGCCATAGAAATACCTTTTTTCAGTTTATATTATTGCTCAAAATTCTATCGCCACACTGTATTCTATCCGGTTTAGTGGCAGCTTGAATAATGGAGGCTTAATTAGATTCGGCTTTTGTGCTAGATTACAAATCGTGTATAATTTATTGCTTGCTGTGTGAATTGACACTACTGACACCTCTTATTGCGAGTTGGGTTGTTGTAATCCACCATGGATATAAACTGTTAAACGCATTCTGATGCAAGCAAAAACACTATTAACAGGTGTCTGTGTTGATAATCTTGAATAATTTCCACTTGTCGTGGACTAGTTGATTTTAGGATGTAGGACATTACTTAGCATTGTTTTTTCTGTTTCACAGGTGTCAGCGCATCGGTCACGAGAAAGCCCGTGATTAACAAGAGGACACCCTTAGCAGCATAAATTGTATCTGGTCCTGTACAGTAATAAAAAGACAAAGCATTTCTTAGTCGTTTTGTGGCAGCTTTATTTTGTGTTTAACAACCTTGAAGCCTTGTTTGGAAGCGGAAGTAATGGGATAGATTACTGAGCACATCAACGTTGTTACAAGATAAGATTTACAAACCAGAGTGTGCCACATTCTCGAATATTCTGACACAGTGGTGGCCTCATGCATGTTATTGGTGTTTATTATTGGCTTTCCTTCACTAGAATATTTGTCCAGCTTCCTTTCTTGTGTGGAAAGTGGTCGGTTAATCGCAGCAAAACATAGTTCTGTCAGTTACACCCTGAAGGTATTGTATATGCCTAAATAATGATTTCTATTGGGTGGTTGGGATAGGATGGTCATTTCTACAGAATTAATGGCAGTTATCGTGGACTGTGAATGCAAATCCCACTTACAAAAACATGGTTATTGTAACTAGTAATTATTGGGATTTCGTGTTCCATACAAATTGGACAAAGGATGATACTTATAATTTAGGCTATGAAAAATTTGTACAGGCATACTACACGAGATATATT